CACGATTTTGGCTCATTACAAGCTCCGCCTCCTGGGTTCACGCCATTCTCCTGCCTCAGCCTCCCAAGTAGCTGGGACTACAGGCGCTCGCCACCACGCCCGGCTGGATTTTTGTATTTTAGTAAGACAGGGTTCACCGTGTGAGCCAGGATGTTCTCGATCTCCTGACGTCGTGATCCGCCCCTCAGCCCTCCCAAAGTGCTGGGATTACAGGCGTGAGCCACTGCGCCCGCTAGATCAGTAAGTGTTATTTAAAAATGTTAATCTTGCCGGCGCCGGGGCTCACGCCTGTAATCCCAGCACTTTGGGAGGCCGAGGCGGGCGGATCACGAGGTCAGGAGATCGAGACCATCCTGGCTAACACACGGTGAAACCCCGTCTCTACTAAAAATAACAAAAAAAAACTAGCCGGCCGGTGGGCGGCGCCTGTAGTCCCAGCTACTCGGAGGCTGAGGCAGGAGAATGGCATGAACCCAGGAGCGCGAGCTTGCAGTGAGCCGAGATTGCGCGCCACTGCACCCAGCCTGGGGCACAGAAGAAACTGCTGCTCTCACAAAAAAAAAAAAAAAAAAAGTTAATCTTAATAATAACCTTAATAATCTGTATAATGTGTCAACATCTGGGAGATCTGTATTATGTCAGTGATCCAACACAGATGCTCCTCATTAACTAATGATGGAGATACACGCAGATATACCCATCAAAAGTTGAAAATATTGTTAAGTCAAAAGTGCATGTACTACACACCCAATTCACAGAACATCACAGCTTAGCATGGCTTACCTGAAATGTGCTTGGAATACAATAGCCTATCATTGGGCAAAGTCCTCTTACACAAAGCCTATTTTATAATAAAGTGTGGAATAGCTCATGTAATTTATTGAATATTGTTATGAAAGTGAAAAAGAGAATGGTTGTACGGGTACTCAAAGTATGGTTTCTACTGAATGTACACCTATTTTGCAACATTGTAAAGTTGAAAAATCTTAAGTGGGGGACCATTTGTACTTTCTTTTTTTTTTGAGACAGAGTCTTACTCTGTCACCCAGGCTGGAGTACAGTGACACGATCTTGGCTCCCTGCAACCTCTGCTTCCCCCGTTCAAGCAATTCTTATGCCTCAGCCTCCTGAGCATCTGGGACTATAGGAGCACGCCACCACGCCCGGCTAATTTTTGTATTTTTAGTAGAGATGGGGTTTCACTATGTTGATCATGCTAGTCTCGAACTCCTGAACTCCAGTGATCCACTCGAAAAAGTGCTGGGATTACAGGCATGAGCCATCATGCTCAGCCACCATTTGTACTTTCTAAATGACCAAAACATGTTATAAAATCATGTACTGGTAAAACTTTCTTTCAAAGTACCGAGTATAAAAAGTTCATTCATATAGTTTAATGTTCTGTAACCAATCAAGAAACCACCTATTGTGTGGTATTAAATATGTTACAGTATCTGAAAGGTTATTAAAATACTGCTCTTTTTTCTAACTACACAGCTATGAGACCAAGTTTTCTTTTTCTTTTCTTTTTTTGAGACAGAATCTCACTTGTCATCCATGCTGGAGTGCAGCGGCACCATCTCAGCTCACTGCAACCTCTGCCTCCCAGGTTTAAGAAGTTCCTGTGCCTCAGGCTCTTGAGTAGCTGGGACTACAGGCGTGTGCCACTGTGCCTGGCTAATTTTTGATTTCTAGTAGAGACAAGGTTTTGCCATGTTGGCCAGGCTGGTCTTGAACTCCTGGCCTCAAGTGATCCACCCACCTCAGCCTCCCAGGTGTTAAAGTTACAGGTGTGAGCCACCAAGTCCAACTTTAGGTATACATTTTCTTTATATGCTTAAAGCAAAATAATGTTTGAGCAGTTTGACTACAAACGTAGCTAAGATAATCCAGCTGTTTTCTATTAAGCCAGACACTGAGATTTTCAAAACTTAAAACAATGCTAACACTTCTCACTAAATTTTTTGTTTTGGACAGTATGGTTATTTTTCATAAAAATACATTATTATAACTTATAATGAGCTTATTACTTTTAAATGTATTAATAAATATTTTTAAGTTTTTCAGTTTTAATTTATAATAGCGTAGCATCAATAGATAACACACCTATACTTACACAAATCACTTTTCGGTCTTCAATAATTTAAGAGTATAAAGGGGGTCCTGAGACCCAAAAGTTTAAGAAATGTCTCTATCATCACATCAGTACATTCGATTGCTTTTGTGGCACTTGCTGCCAACTGAAATTCTCACTCAGTTATGTTTACTTATTTACTGTTCCGCTTTCCTTAATTAGAACGGAAGCTACGAAAGAGCAGAGACCTTGTCCATCTTATCAAGTATTATATCCCCAGTGACTAAAATCTAACCCAGCATTTGGTAAGTGTTCAGTATGATTCTGATGAATAGAACGAATGTAATGAGTAGACAACATACTTAGCCACAGACAAAAGATGAACCATTTTAAATTTATAGGACATACACATTACCCTTCATCAATTTGCAGTTTTAGGATAAGGATTAAGGAATAGGCACTGAGGGCAGTTCCAGCAGACATGTATCATGTCTACTCTGTGGGGTCTGCTCTCTCCCGACTGCCTCTAGAGCCTAGTCATGGGTAACACCTCTGCTCTCTGCTGGCTGTAGCTGCCTCCAACTTGTGCAAAGCCCGTAGGCTATCAGGACTGCTGAGTGCTTCCTGAAGTTGAAGATGTCCAGCCATGAGAGGGAGGCCAAGTTATGTGCTATTACCCTCTGAGTGAGTAGATGTTAATGTGGTTCAGTCAAAAGTCCCCTCTAACTTCTTGAGGTCACTTTGTTTCTAGTTTCTGGAGCTAAACTTTTCGTATTTTTATATCCCATTGACTGATAAAATGAGAAATGTACTTGAATCCTGTGCTTACAATACCACTTGCCAGCAGGGCACGGTGGTTCACACCTGTAAACCCAGCACTTTGGGAGGCTGAGGTGGGTGGAACACCTGAGATGAGGAGTTCGAGACCAGCCTGACCAATATCGTGAAACCCCGTCTCTACTAAAACTACAAAAATTAGCCGGACAGGGTGGCAGGCACCTGTAGTCCCCAGCTATTCTGGAGGCTGAGACAAGAGAATTGCTTGAACCTGGAGGTAGAGGTTGCAGTGAGTTGAGATCGTGCCAATATACTCCAGCCTGGCCGACAGAGCGAGACTCCATCTCAGAAAATAACAACAACAACAAAAACAAAAAAGAAAAAACAAAAAACAGTATCACTTACCTTACCCAAGGAAGTTATCTTAGAATCTATATTCTCTTATTATAAATTGTTTCAATTAATCTAGTTTCCTAGTCCAAAGGGCATTAGAAACATTGAACAGAATGAGAAAATGAAAGGAAGCTGGGTAAGCTTAAGATCAGCCAGCAGCACATACCAAAAGGTAATAATAAGCAATAAAGGAAAATACAGACAGAACAGAAATGATAACTCATAGGTACCAAAGCTAGGACCATTTAGAGCAGGAATAATTAGTTGTATACTCCTCCAACTCACCTGAAAGCATCCATTCTACACTGCAGTATAATCCTTATAACAGAAATCCCAAATCAAATAATGATTATGACATTCTATCTAAGAGGTTAGAACAGATACAAGTGATACAACTACTATGCTGCTTAGTTATCCTGAACTAAGGTACCATCTTAGTTCCAGTACCATCGCACTCCAGCCTGGTATTATTAATGGTATGTCATATTTTTTACTGTTAAGTACTTACATGTGAATAAGTGTAAGAAAATGGCTGCTTATTGGTAGCATATAAATTCAGAGTCAGGAATGATGATGATGCCACAGAACCAGAGACTGTGACATTGGTGGCTGAGAGAGCAACATCTGTGCCTTTTGATACTTCAATGTACACAAACTTCATTTAATGCAAATTTTAAATACTGTACAAAATTACCTTCAGTCTATGTATATAAGGTGTATATAAAACATAAATGAATTTCATACTTAGACATGGGTCCCATCCCCAAGATCTCATTATGTACATGCAAATATTCCTTAAAAAAAAAAAAAAAAAAAATCCAAACTCTGAAACACTTCTGATCCCAAGCATTTTGGGTAAGTGACACTAAACCTCTACAATTTACTCAGAGAAACAAAGACCAGATCACGAAGGTCCTGTGTGTTACAAGAAGAATCTACACTGAAGATGTAGAGATGATTTTTAGAAAGTGCAGTAAGAAGGCTACTGCTAAAATCACAAAGAGTATGAACATCTTCTTCTAGAAGGAATGGAAGTCAGAATTGATTCATAAACAATTTAGGGAGTTGAACAAGATTTAGTGAACAATTATGTTTTAGGGAAGAGAGGGCAAGACACAAGTGGAATGAAAGCTGGTTTTTGGACTGGGGTGACTGGGTAGCTGGAGGCACTTGGCACGGATACAGTAAATATAGGAAGAAAACCAGGAGGGGTGTCCTCCCAGGAAGATTGTGGGGGAACCACTGATTTCAAGAATCAGCTAACTGTGGCACTTATATCTCTCAAGTTGCCTGCCTGGCCTTCTTTCAAGTGTACTTTACTTCCTTCTGTTCTTGCTCTAAAACTTTTACAAACCAACCAACCAAGCAGATAACTGATAACTGTAATTCTAGCACTTTGGGAGGCAGAGGTGGAAAGATCGCTTGAGGCTAGGTGTTTGAGACTAGCCTGGGCAACATAGCACAACCCTGTCTCTACAAAAGTAATTAGTAATAATAAATAAATAAGAATCAAACACTTCAAGAATGAAATAAACACAATTTAAATAAACTTGAAAACCTGAGAGAACAGTTAGAAATCTATTTGTTAGATGAAAGTACAGAATTTTAGTATGTTGCAACAGCAGGATATGCTGCTTTTCGATGTTATTTTTAAAATCCAAAATAAACCCAAATTGGGACTTACTGATTTCTCACGTAAGGTGTCTTGCATTTGTTAATTAAGAGATTTCAAATATAAATAAAGCCAAATCCATACCTTTTCTGCTTTTTTATCAGAAATGTCTTGCTTTTCCAGAACAGCCATGCTCTCCTTCAGATTCTTCACAATGTCTGCTGGAGATTTGTGAGACTTTCCGAACGGGAACGGCATGACGGCAGCGGGAGGGGCCTCCGCTGCACTCCACCTGTGCTACCTAGAACACAGCACAAGGTTCATGTGAGCAAACACTGGGATCAATGGAAGACAGACTTTCTAAATCCTAATCTGGGAAGAAAACTCGTGTTTAGGAAAGTCATTTTACATAACTTTCAAAATCAGTAGGAACAGGGAAATCCACAAATATATGCAAGAAATGATAATACACAGATGTCTTAGAATTACAGAACACTGTATTTTTCAAAACACTTTGTTTTTCTTTCCTTCAAATCAACTGCTCTCCTAACCACCCAAATGGGGATGAATACACTGCCTGATGCTACTGAGGTAGAGAGCAGCAGCTCGCACTCACAGGGCAACTGTTACTGCCAGGCCTGATGCTGAGCACTAGAATTCATCATTTCATGAAACCCTTTCTAACAATCTCCTGCTCCTGTTTACTGGTGAAATTTAGCAAGGTCGAGAGTCAGGCTCAAGGTACTAAGTGGTTGAACAAGCTCAGATCTGTCTTGATCCAAAGTATCCTTAATCACTACACTGTACATCAAAATGACAGTTATCTATTTTATAGCTGAGGCAACTGAGGCAAAAACTTAGGTAGTGTGTTTAGCCAAACAGCACTAGCAACAGCCTACTATCTAGGTCTCTTCAGACGCTCTTTTCCCGGTGTTCATGCTGCTCCTCTTAAGCACCCAGTGGGTTGCCCCGAATATGACACACACTTCCTTGGCATACCCATCCTCTTATTCAGGCAGTCACAGCGTCTCAGAGCTAGAGAGAAGGCTGGATGGGGGAAAAAATCTCCCATTAAATCTTCTAATCCCCTATGTGACAGTTGTCAACATGTATTTGCCTGGATTTGACCAACTCCTATGAAAGAACTCGCTGGATAAAACTCTGGGGATGATGAACTTCTAGAAGTTCTTAATTTTGGGGGTGTAGTAGAAAACAACATTTCAACCACATAAACCACAGTATTACATCATCCAAAAGGAGGACATGAAACTATTCCAAGAAGGCACTATGAAGAAACAAAGTTAACAAGACAAACAATGGAAGTGACTGGGGAACATGTTGGAAGTTAACCATTTTTCAGTAAAAAAAAAAAACTAGAAGTTAAACTCATAGGCACTAAACAGTTTCGTATCAGACACCAAAAGATGACACTTTTTAGAAAAACCTTATGGATCATTTAGATCAGTGGTTTTCTAAGTTTCAAAATCCTATATTTAACTGCCCAAGGTGCTCCCCACACACACCCAAGTAAGAAAAGGTGGCTCTCAGACACCCCAACCCTACGGTTTTCCTTCTATATAAACACAAAAATACGTCCATTGCATAGTGTAACACTTCTTTTGAGCTTTGCCTAATATTTCATTTGATGAACAAACTTGCATGCTTTTCCCTTAAGTTTGAAATAGAGTGACTTACATATTTGTTTATAAAGAATGTTTAAAACATGCAAATGAACGCTAATGTCAAGCCTACAACTAAATCATAAACGAGTATGTTATTTCTCAACATGTTCTGATGTGAACTGTTCCGACCCATCTCTAACCCCAAATATTGCCTATCTCACCTTCTGTCACCTTGTAAATACTTTTTTGATAAAATTAAAACCACATTTTCATTAACCAAAGAGAAACAGTTTAATGCATGTCCTTTGTCATAGGTTCTTAAATATCCAAGAATTTTTTTTTTTTGAGAGTCTCGCTGTGTCACCCAGGTTGGAGTACAGTAGCACAATCTTGGCTCACTGTAACCTCCATCTCCCAGGTTCAAGCGATTTTTGGGCTTCAGCATTAGCCTCCCAAGTAGCTGGGACTATAGGTGTGAGCCACCAACCCAGCTAATTTTTGTATTTTTAGTAGAGATGGGTTTTCACCATGTTGGCTACACTGGTCTCAACTCCTGGCCTCAAGGTATCCACCCACCTTGGCCTCCCAAAGTGCTGGGATTACAGGTGTGAGCCACCATGCCCAGCCATAAAATCCAAAGATGTTTAAGTCCACTTCTAAATAACTTTTCCATGCCTAAAAGTTTGAACTGATGTTAGGGGAGTCACTCTCAACTAGCTGTCATATGATTGCTCTACAAGCTAGACGGGACAAAAAGCCTGGGTCATTCTTTTTCTTTTCCTGGATCATTACTTTTTCCTTTGGGCAGGGGAGTGGGCGTGGGGGGGGGGGCAGGCAGGTTGCTTCTCCATAAACAGTGTATCACACTCACAATATGTCCTCTGAAAATATTATCTTTCCTATCTGTAACTCTGCGAATAATAGCAGTGATGTGGAGGGTGGGAATGTTTAAACGGTATTTTGCAGGAAGTGTTACGGTGCTATGCAACAGAGATATTTTCAGCTCTGGCTCAATAGTGAAAGATGTGACTTTCCAGGGTAACAGAGGTTTACAAGTCCTACCACACATCAAAAGTTGCTTATAGCAGAAAGAGTATAGCCACCAAAAAGAACACATATATAAAATATTTCTGTGGGGGCAAGGGGAGGCACGACACAATTATTTCTGTTAATTAATATACCAGGCAGCTAAGATTTTACAGAACATATGAACAAGTAAGACTGTGTTCTATAGAAATACAGGCCAGGTGAGGTGGCTCGCACCTGTAATCTCAGCACTTTGGGAGTCTGAGGTGGAGGGACTGCTTGAGGTCAGGAGTTCGAGACCAGCCTAGGCAACACAGCGAGACTCTGTCCCTACAAAAAATTTAAAAATTAGCTGGGCATGGTGGTGCATACGTGTGAGCCCAGCCAGCTAACTGGAAGGCTGAGGTTGAAGCATCACTTGAGCCTAAGAGGTGGTGACCGTACCACTGCACTCCAGCCTGAGTGACAGAGTAAGACCCTAACTTAAATTTAAATAAGAAGGAAAAGAAACACAGTAACAACTACCCAAAAGAAGAAGTGACATTCCTCAGTAGGATCCAAATACATTGGTAAATAAATCATTTTTCATGATTTAGTTTTAAAAATACAGTTAAAGGCCGGGCGTGGTGGTTCACACCTGTAATCCTAGCACTTTGGGAGGACGAGGCCAGCAGATCACGAGGTCAGGAGTTCAAGACCACCCTGACCAACATAGTGAAACCCCATCTCTACTAAAAATATAAAAATCAGCTGGGCGTGGTGGCGTGCGCCTGTAATCCCAGCTACTCACGAGGCTGAGGCAGGAGAATCGCTTGAACCGGGAGGGGGAGGTTGCAGTGAGTTGAGATCACACCACTGCACTCCAGCCTGGGTGACAGAGCAAAACTCAAAAATAAATAATAAATAAATAATACAGTTAAAAACTATCCTCTTTAAAGTATGAGTGTAATAATTCTCAAAAATCATGTATGTCCTTAGGCTCATCAACTCTTAATTTAATTACCCAAGATTTTGGTAGGCAAAAACCAGGAAATAACACTCCCCAAAACTTCTGCATTACAGAATTTGTTTCTTATGTTCAGGTTTGCTAAGTATCAAGCTTAATTATCTTACACAGTCATGTAGCTGCCTGATAAGGTTTCAGTCAATGATTGACTGCATTACATGACAGTGGTCCCATAAGATTACAATGGAGCTGAAAAGTTCCTATCACTTAGTGCTTTGTGCTACAAATACCTACTGTATTCAACACAGTAACATGCTGTACAGGTTTACAGCCTAGGAGCAACAGGCTATATCACACAGATTACTAGGTAGTTGACTATACCATCTAGGTTTATGTAAGTACTGTACACTCTATGACATTTGCACGACGAAACTGCCTGATGCATTTCTCAGAATCCATCCCAGTTGTTAAGCAACACAGGAGTTAATTCCTTCACAAGCTCGTGTGTGACCTTCAGACAATGCTCAAGTGATAGCAAAGGCACCTTTAAGAGTGGACTCCAGTTGGTACTGCTTTATTCCGGGGGGGACGCTGCCTTCCAAAGGGCCTGGTCCACCATTGAGCCATTTGGAGTGTTCTGTGACCTTGAAGGATGTGAAGCACATGGACACATGTCTGAGTTTTGAAACTGACAATCCCTAGAGTATGGAGATGCCCAAGTTGGAAGTAGCAATGGTTCGAGAAGGGTCCCAGCAGTTTAAGGATACATTTCACCATAACAATCCACCTACCTTTCTCATCTCCCCTTTATCATCAGCAATATTTCCTTTAATATATATTTGGAGGAATTTAAGGGAATAACACAAATCCACTGGTTAAGATCTTCAATAATTTTTCACTGCCCTTAGAATAAAATCCAAATTCCATGACAAAAAACCCAAAAGCAAATGTAATAAAAACAAAGATAAATAGCTGGAGCTTAAAGTGCTTTTGCATGGCAAAAGAACAGTTAGCAGAGTAAATAGACAACCCAGAGTGGGAGAAAATCTTCTCAATATACATCTGACAAAGGACTAATACCCAGAATCTACAACACACTCAAACAAATCAGTAAGAAAAAAATAAACAATTCCATCAAAAAGTGGGCTAAGGACATAAATAGACAATTCTCAAAAGAAGATACACAAATGGCCAATGAACACACGAAAAAATGCTCAGCATCACTAATGATAAGGGAAATGCAAACCAAAACCACAATACAATACCACCTCACTCCTGCAAGAATGGCCATAATCAAAAAATCAATAAACAAATACATGTTGACATGGATGTGGTAATCAGACAACACCTCTACACTCCTGGTGGGAATGTAAACTAGTACAGCCACTATGGAAAACAACGTGGAGATTCCTTAAAGAACTAAAAGTAGAACTACCACTTAATCCAGCAATCCCACTATTGGGCATCTACCCAGAGGAAAATCATGGAACCAATCCAAATGCCCATCAATCAACGAGTGGATAAAGAAACTGTGGGGTGTGCGTGTGTATGTGTATGCGTATATATATATGATGGACTACTAAGCCATAAATAGGAATGAATTAACAGCATTTGCAGCAATCTAGATGAGACTGGAGACTATTATTCTAAGTGAAGTAACTCAAGAATGGAAAACCAAACATGTTCTCACTGATATGTGGGAGCTAA